AAGGTGAATGGCGACACCAGGCAAAGCCCACAGATTCAGTTCCCTTTGTGATTCCATGAGGCATTCCTAACCACAGGGAGCAGCTGAATTGCTAATTAAACTAGGGGTCATGGAGGCAGTGAGGGCTTCTTTCTTTCTTTCTTTCTTTCTTTCTTTCTTTCTTTCTTTCTTTCTTTCTTTCTTTCTTTCTTTCTTTCCTTCCTTCCTTCCTTCCTTCCTTCCTTCCTTCCTTCCTTCCTTCTTTCTTTCTTTCTTTCTTTCTTTCTTTCTTTCTGTAAATACATTCTTAACCTCAAACAATTCCTTTGATGACCATCTGAAAGTTCTAGCAGCATGTGTGCCTACTCCCCGTGAGCCCCGCCTCTCACCCCCTTGGCCAGCCATGCAATACTGAGATTTGACCCACTGAACTTCACATCCTTTATAGTAAAAACTAAACTTCTTCATTCAACAAATACTTACTGAGTGACCCACTCCCTGTCAGCACTAGTCTAGGTGCTGGGGATACAGCAGTAAAACACATGAGATAAAATCATGGCCTTCATGACGCTTGTTTTCTAATAGAGAGTGATACACAACAAATACAAAATACTAACATTTCAGGTTATGGTAAATTCTATGGAGAAAATTAAGGAATAAGGAATAAAGTATATAATAAAGAATAAGGAATGAGGTGCATATGTGCATCATATATATGGTAGTCCTGGAAGACTCCTTTGATGAGAATTGAGCAGAACTGGAAGGAAGTCAAAGGACACGCCACTGGAGGTCTAGGAAAAGCCCTTGGTAGGCAAAGAGAACCAAAGACTCAAGGGTCCTCATGGAGGAGCAAGTTTGTTTTGTCTGATGAACAACAACAATCAGGGTGAATGGGGAAAAGTGATAAGAGATGAGGTCAGAGAGACAATGGGACCAGTAGAACCCTGTGGGCCACTGTCAGACGCTGGCTTTTACTCTGAGTGCGTTGGAAGCCACTGGCAAATTTTGAGCAGTCAGTGACACTATATTTTGGAGGTTCTCAGGAAAATGGAGTATGGGGTGAAAGGCTGGGAGCAGGCAGATAGGAGGAACAGAGACTGGCTGCTGGTTGCACCCTGATAGCCATCTGCCCTTTCTCTCCCTGGTAATAGAACCCCGATGCTTTCTTGTGGCAACAATGGGCCCAGCTAGAGTCTAGACTTCATAGACACCCCCTTACAATTGGACATAGTCCTATGATGAAGTTCTGGTGCGTGAGCTATAAGAAGATGGATTTGTAACTCTTTTTGGAGCACTGCTTAAAAAGAGCCTACTCTGTTGGAAGGAGTCCTTTTCTCCTGTTTTGCTTCCTTCTGCTGTGGGTCCAGAACACAAACATGTGGCAGGAGCTCCAGTGGCCGTCTTGAATCATAAGGTGATTCTTTTTGTTTGTTTTGAGACAGTCTTGCTACATTGCCCTAGGTAGAGTGCCGTGGTGTCTTCATAGCTCACTGCAACTTCAAGCTCCTGGGCTCCAGAGATCCTCCTGCCTCAGCCTCCTGAGTAGCTGGAACTACAGGCATGCACCACCATACCCAGCTAATTTATCCATTTTTAGTAGAGATGGGGTCTTGCTCTTGCTTAGGCTTTTCACCTGAAGTAATCCTTCCACCTTGGCCTCCCAGTGTGCTAGGATTACAGGTGTGAGCTACTGTCCCCGGCCCAATGCCCTCTCCTTTTTATCATTTATTTGTGGTGAGAACACTTAAAACCTATTCTCTTAGCATTTTTCAAGTATATACTATATTGTTATTAACTGTAGTCACCATGTTGTGCAATAGATCTCTTGATTTTGTTCCTGCTGTCCGGCTGAAATTTTGTATCCTTTCACTAACATCTCCCCAGTCCCTACCCTTCCCCGAGCCCCTGGTAACTATCATTCTACTCTCTCCTTTAACGAGTTAGAGGTTTTGAGATTTCACATATAAGTGAGATCTAAAAGTGGTATTTCTCTTTCTGTGTGTGGCTTATTTCCCTTCACATAATGTCCTCCAGCTTCATCCATGCGGAATGACAGGATTTCCTTCTTGAGGCTGAATAGTATTATCCATTCATCTTCAGTGAATGAATGAATAAATGAATGGGCACTTAGGTTGATTCCATATCTTGGCTATTGTTGACAATGTTGCAATAAACATACCAAAGACATCAAACATTATCAAGGATATCTCTTCAGCACACTGGTTTCATTTTATAAGGTGAGTTTACAATGGAAGCCACATGCTGAGGACAGTGGGACAGAAAGCTCAGATAGGTCCCTGATGATGGCATAGAGATATCACACTAACTCTGGACTGCCTATTTCTGGACTCCCTTCACATGAGAGAGAAAGAAACTTCTATTTTGTTTAAGCCATTAGTTTTGTTTTTTCTTTTTATTTGGGGTTTTCCAGTTATATGTAGGAAGCCATTGCAACAATCCAGGTGAGAGAAGATGGTGGTTTGGCCCAGCATGGTAGTCAAGAAGATCGGATTCTGGATATTTTTTTTGAAGGTAGTACCCATAGGATTTGCAGGTGGTTTAGACACAGAAATGAAGGAAGGAGAAAAAGTAGGATGACTTCTGGGCTTGGGGCCCAGATGACCTGAGAGTGCCATATGAGTTACAGGGGTGCAGAAGCTAAGAGGAGCAGGTGTGGATGTGAGGCTCGTGTTGGGTGGGAACAAGAGTCTAGGGCAAAAGTGGCAGGGACATGATAGAAACAAGGGGGGGTGGTGTCAAGGGCATGGGACACACATTGGTGGGAAATGAGTGGGATCCTGTCCTACTGCTTCTATTTTCTCAACAAAGTCAGAGTCCAGGTCATTAGCTGAGCCTGAAAAGATGACAGTGGAGGGTGGAGACAGGAGATTTAAAGAGAAAGACGCTGGGGAACAGTCCTTTCGGAGAGTGAAGAGCAGGAATCCTGGGCAGCAGTGAGTGTGAGTGCGTGTCCATTTGAAATCTGTGCTCTATAATTTCTAGAGAAGCCAGTGAGCAAGGCTGTGTGTTTTTCTGCAATCCAGTCCAGTTGCATGGTTACATTGAACCGAGCCTGGGTTTTGCCAGACAAGGAAGAAGGAAGTATTCTTCATCCACATGAGGTAGATGAAGAATAAAAAGAATTTAGGGTTCTTGCAAAGACTGAAAAATTGCTGGAGTGTAGGCTCTGGAGCAGCTCAGCAGAAGGACAGAAGGTGGTGATGGGCAGAGGGCTGGATGATCGAAAAGGAGATTTTGGAGGAGATGCAGTTAGCCATCAGGGAGGACAAGGTCACATGAGTCACTGAGGATAGGAATGAGTGGCTAAGGTGACAAGTCACTGGGGAGAGAAGGAATTGAGAAGCTGAAGATATTGGATAAAGGTCAAGGTGTTAAATAAAGTATATTAAATTATATTAAATTACAAGTATTATTAAATAAAAGTGGTTCACAATTTCCTATAATTAGATTTATTATCTGCCTCAAATAAAAATACCATTCATTAGTATAAGTATTTTAAATTAAAACAAATTTTTTGAAGGGACATCTATGGGACTTCAAAGAACAAAGTTTTACCCAAACATCTAAGTTTTTATTGGGTGAAAATACAAAGCATTTTTTTCCACATGAAACTTCTTTGTATCTTGATTTCTTTTTTTTTCTGTGAGTTTTTTTAGGAGGTTAGTCCATTAATACAGTCTTTTAAAAACTGACCTGATTATTCTCTGTAAAATTTTTCATGTTATTGCTTATTTCTTCTAAGAAATAAGCAATGACTTTGGACTTTGCCCCTTTAGACTTTCCTCATAACTTTTTCACTATTTTTTTCTTTTTTTAACTCTTATTCCCATATTTACTTATTTTCTCAGATGTTTGTTTCCTTCCTTCCTGCTCCATCTCCCTGTTCCTCAGATTCCTTTGCGTAGGAGAAAAAACTGGGAGGACTCCCATAGCATGCTGTGAGAAGTCTCTAGACTTCCCTGGGTGGACTTGTAAACACAGAAGGTCTTGCACACTACTTTACGTGGATCGAGCATTCAGATTACAGGGTCGGGCCTCAGGCACAGGTCTGGTTTGTCACAGGTGGTCGCTGAAACATTAGGAAAGTTGCTTTGCTCCTCCCATCTCCTAGTCCCTCTTCATAAACTCAGATATTATTAATCAGGAGTCTATTCTGGGCTACTCATTGTGCTGATTAAAGTAATTCACATCAATGGGCAGTGACTGATCTGCTTAATTCTCTCAGGGGCATTCGCATTTCTAAACTGTGTGTATTAATCCAAATATAACTCTGATGCATGAGATAAATGTGAAACAAACCATTAACACTCTATTCAGGATTTTCTGTGACCGAACAAAAGGGCTTCCTTTCTCTTGGGGCCCCAGAGCAGCCTGCTTATACCTTAGCAAGTGGGCTAGTAGCACGTGTAAAATTGGGGAGTAGAATCTGTGTGCATGCCTGTGTGCGTCTGCGGGTGGCACTGCCCACCTCCTCTGCTCCTCTCTCCGGCTCACGATCTACCTGTCGTCTTTCCCATGTTTCAGATCATGAGCGGGAGATACTCACACATGGCTCTGATTAAGCCGTCATTATTCTCAAAGAGTAAATTCTTGATCTCAAGATCGTATTTCCCCATTTTCCACAAAAAAAATTCTTCAGCTACTCAACTTTATTAAGGTTTTCAGTCTTAGAATCTTAGAGGTTCGTGGCCTGTGATGGCTCCCTTAATCCCGGTGTTTGTGGCTGGAATATACAGAATGAGTAGGGAGCTGGCTAGAGATGAGACGCACCAGGAACAGGGCTCCGTTTCTCCACGTGGCCTGGGCTACACCGGGTATAGCTCATCCGTCCCCCAAAGCCATGCTGAGGAAAGGGCTCGGCCAGAGAGAGAGTGCAGTGCTGTGCTTAGTACAGTGGGTCTGAGGGTCAAGCAGATTTCAGTGGTCTCCCAACCCGGGTAGGAACTAGCTCCAGCTCCCTGACCTTGTGCAAGCCACGTCAGCCTCAGGTGCCACAGCTTGTATGTAGGGTGATACACGATTCTTGCTTACACTGTGGCCGACGGGAGCAGCCCTTCCGTGAACCACCCACCCCATCAGGGCATCTGTCTGCGACGGAGACTTTCTGCCTCAGGACGTTCTATTTCAGGTCCAGAAGATTCTCGCCGCAAGGAAGAGAGGCAGCAGTGACATAGATGTGGAAGGGGACAGGGGCCCTTTTCCCTTCGCGTCTAGTCCGCTCCACACCCCCACCGGCCTCCCTGGCCGCTACGGGGTGAAGCAGCTGTAGGACCAGGAAAAGCAAGAAGAAACCGCCCTCCGCTTCTCTTCCCGGGAGTCCGGGCCGTGAGCCTGGCCCTCGGGGCGCGTTTCTCTGTGACTCTGGCCGCTCGCTCTTTTGCCATCTCAGCGAAGTCTTGAACCCATGTCCTAGAACCTTTTATCGGCCTTTTGGAAGCAGCTCGTATGGGACATAGAAGGAGAGTCAAGTTTCTGAACTGAGGAATATAGAAAAATCAGCCGTGCTTCTTCCTGCCGCTGTTTACCAGAGGGAAGTCAGCGGGGCCCCAAGAGGTCGCTGGTGGCGCAGGAACGGCGGCCGGATTGTAGAGAAAAGAGAGGGGGGAAAACACCCAGAAACTTTCTTCCTTGTTGTGAATAATCGCCGCCCCCCCGCCCCCCAGCAGAAGCAGTAACGTGACACCCGAGCGAAGCCGGGAGACCGAGCGGAGAGGGGGGGGGACGGGGAGGAGAGAGGGCTGCGGAGCGCCGAGGGAGAGGGGAGGAGGAGGAGGAAAGCCCCTGTCAGGGAGGTGGAGCGAGGGGATGGTGTCCGCCCCCCGTTCCTCCCTGCCGTTTTTTAGAGGAGCCTGAACCGGGACAAAACACGCCGAGACCGACAGACACAAAGCCGGGGGGTCCACGCTGGCGCTGGAGGCGAGCCCCGTCGGCCGCGAGCGAGCCCGAGGCGCGGCGGGGCGCGGGGCGCGGGGGCGCTAGCGGGCGCGGGACGGGCGCGGAGCCCCGGCGCGGGCAGCGCCCCCGAACCGGGGCCGGGCATCTCGGCCGCTCGGGCCGCGGCGGCGGGGACCATGCCGAGGAAAGTCTCCTGAGCCCGGCAACTCCGGCCCCTCCCCGCCCCCACGCGGCGGCCCTTCGCGCGGCCCTCTCCATGTGCAGCCGGCCGGCCAGGCTCTCCTCCTCGCGGCGGATGGGTGACCTTTTCCTGGCGCGGGCAGGCTGTGCGAGGCGGCGGAGCCGGCGATGAAGAAGAAGCAGCAGCATCCCGGCGGCGGCGCGGATCCCTGGCCCCATGGGAACCCTCTGGGGGGCGCCCCTCCAGGCCCGGGCAGCTGGAAGCGCCGGGTCCCCCTGCTGCCTTTCCTGAGCTTCTCCCTCCGGGACTACGGTTTCTGCATGGCCACCCTGCTGGTCTTCTGTCTGGGCTCCCTCTTCTATCAGCTCAGCGGGGGACCCCCTCGCTTCCTGCTCGACCTGCGGCAGTATTTGGGTAAGGAAGGGAGGCTGGCGCGAGGGCGGCGCCGGCTCTCGAAGTTGTGCCGGCGGGAGACGGGGCGCGCCGGCCACTTCTCGTGCTGCCACCGCGCGCCGCCGCCCCGGGGCTCCCCAGGTGTGACGCCCGCAGGAGTCGGTGCGGCGGCCGGGAGCGCCTTCTTCCTCCCGCGGGCCAGGCCGTCTGCACAGGGGCGGGGGCGCCGCTGGGTGCCGTGCGGGGCAGGCACTCTGGGCGGGACACCGCATACCTTCCGCCCGCCCTAGCCTCCGCCACCCCAACTGGGGCGGAGTAAATGTGCGTTTCGGGGTGTGCATGAGTGTGTGTACAATCGGGCCCGACGGTGAGGGGAGAGGGGAGAAGGGACAGTTTTCTCCGTGGCATTGTCGGTGACCACAGCCCAGTGCCGTCCGGCGCCCCGGGGCGTGCGAGTGGGTTTAGATCCTCTCCGCATTCAGTTCTGAGAATTAGGTCCCGCGGAACCCCTTTCCGTCCGCCGGCCAGAGCGGCTTCGCGTTGTCCCCTGGCTGGCTCGTCCCTTGGCAATCCCTGCCCACCCCGCCGCCCGCAGCGAGCGTGACGCGGGGAGCAGGCTGCCCGAGGGCGCGGGTCAGGCCGGCCAGCAGCGTCGCCTCCTGCGCCCTGACAATCCCCTGCGCCATGTGCGTCTCAAGTCAGAACTTTTTATTTATTTATTTATTTGGCGGTTGGTTCGTTAACAGCGAGGCTACCTGTCTTTAGCAGAAGCAAGGAAAGGGCTGTGATGGGAGAGAAAAAGCCGCTCCGGCGAGAAGGCGTGACCCCTCCGCGCCCTCGTCCCGGCTCCCAGAGCCAGAGGTGCCAGGGCCCCGCGAGCGCACGCGCAGGTCCTGGGGGCGATGCTGGCTCGCACGTCCGGGCCAAGGGACGATGCAAATGTCTCACAAGTCTGTGGCCAGAAAGGGTCGTGCGGGGGTGGAGGAGAGGCTGGGAGAGCTGCAGCTTCTTGCAAACATCCGACGTGATAACCTGAGCGGACTGGCAAGCATCCGGCGTCTGCGGGATGAGAACGGTGAGAGCGGGTGCGGGGAAGCGGAGCCACTCAAGTCCTGGGAACAAGATGGGCCAAATGACCTGGGCCGGCTGGAGGCTGCCACATTTACTCCAGATGTCCCTTCGTCGCAGAAGCCACAGGTCTAGAGAGAGAGAGAGAGAAAGAAACAAAACCAAAAATCAACACATCAGCAAAGTGACAAATGTGTTAGGGCATTTGGAAATGCAGATGCTGATAAAATAATGTTTTTTCCATGCAGAGGAGCTCAGATTTTAAAAGTTACACTTTTCTTTCAGTAAAAACTTGGGCAGCTATAGTTTTGCAGGATGCTTTAGGAAAAATTAAAGGAAAAGACTGACCAAGTAGATTTCCAAAGTATAATCTGTAGTTATCTAGTGTCATGGTTTCATGGAGGATTTGGGACAAGATGCCCTTTTATTAGGGAGTCAAACCACTTCTTTCCACGAGTTCTGTATTTTGGAGTCTCATAGCTTCCTAAGTCTTCAGACACCTGCTAGTTTCACAAAGGTCGCTGTATTTTCACCACCACAACAATCACTCTTTAATGGCATTGGGAGGAAAGTATTGAGGGTCAGGGGTCTATCTCCACTAAGTCTAGTAAAGAATTTATGAATTCTGGTAATGAAATCTTACAGAAAATATTGACAGCAGTGGTGTAGGATAAAGAATAGTGAACTAGGTAGGATGGAAGGCATCTGTGTCCTCAGGAGCACTTGACGTTGGACAGGGTATTCAGACTTCATGGGCATTTTTTCCATGGTAGAATTAGGAGTTGGATGAGATTGGCTCTGAAACTTACACCCAGGTCCTAAAATTTTGTGGATTCACGTTTCTTGGGGAATGGTGAACCTGGGAGGAGGATGGAGCAAAGATACTACTCCTAAGGATAAAATCAAGAAACTTCAATGTAAATTACATTAACCTTTTCACTATATAATTTCAGAAAAATGAGGCCTGATAAATTTGGGTGGTCACTTGTAGGAGAGTGAATTCTCAGCGTTTAATCAGGGAATTAGGAAGAACTCACTGAAAGATTGAACACTGCTCCTATTACTAGCTGATCATTAAATTTCTGACTGATGTGATGGGCTCAAAATGACGTCATTGTGAACTGAAAATAGGATAGCCTTGGCCAAATTTGTTCCCTGTTATTTTGTTACATAAATATAATGATTTTCGGGAAAAGTGGGCTTGTGGTCTTAGGGTAGTTTAAAATATACTCTTAAAATAAGGCCAAGGTATCTGCAGAATTATTCTCCCCCGTTTTTCTCCATTCTAGTATTTTAGTGTCTGTCAAAACAAAATTTGTGGTTGGTAAACACATCCTCCCAATTTCCTTAGTTAGCTAATTTCGGAAGCAAGTATTTTTCTTAAATGTAAGTTCATTTAAAGTCGAAGTTTTCTGAATCAAAATATTTATATCAAACATTTTTCTTTATAGAATATTATTTCAGTATATTTGTACAATATTGTATGTCTGACACATAGTGGCTACTTGATAAATATTGGTTGAACCAATGACCAAACCTATTGTGTCAAATAGGCAGTGTGATTTTTATTGAATATTGTCACAGGAAAGCCAAGAGATATGGGCATTCATGATAAAAGCTAACATTTATTGGGTGTGTGCCAGTCAATGCATATGCAGAATGGAATTTAATCATTAATCCACAAAGTAACACTGTTGGTAGATTCTATTGTTATTCCCATTTTTGATATGGGAAAAATGAGGGCAAAGAGGTGGGAAGGGCACACAGTAAGTGTGGCAGGACTTCAGCCCAAATCTGCCTGATTCCAGTACGCGTTGCCTAGCACTATGGACAGTTTAAGAGAGAAAATGGAAATAGAGCCAAGATGTAAATGGGAATCTGAAGAGCTGACTGGCTAAAAACGATCATATTTATTTCCATAATTTCACTTTCCATTGTTTTTTAAATTCACTTTCTGTTTTTTCGTACTTTTACTTTGAGTATCTTGAGGGGTCAGCTGAGATGGGGAACTAATTCCAGAAGCTAATTTGCACAAACTCCCCCTTCCTATTTTAATCTTCACCACGTTGCCTCTGTTTATTAGGGAACTAGGCCCTCCCTGAGCTGCACAACAACTGGGCTTCCTCTCTTTCTTTAGCAGTTGTGCGGTGTATCAGGGTGGCTCCCTGGACCTGCAACATCAGCATCACCTGGGAATCTATTACCAATGCACAGTCTGAGGTCTTATCCCTGACCTGCTCGATGAATCTGGGCATGGGGCCCAGCAGTCTGTGCTTCTGCCAGTCCTCCAGGAGATTCTGATGCATAGAATTTGAGACAGTTGTTCTAGAGGAAAGCATTGCCTTCCAGAGGCTTCCCCTGTATTTGAGAGAAGAGAGGGTATGAGAGGGAGGAAGAGGGGAGAGAGAAAGAGATAGAGAGAGATTTATAAAGTAGTGTACATGGTTTTGTTTTTTAATTTCTACTTTAAAAAAATGCATCTGCTTTGCTGCTTAAGCCCCATTCTTTCCAGGGAAGGACCAGCCCACAGTGGCAGCCCCAGCTGGCCTGAGACTTTCCAAGGTTAGGAAAGGCCTGGAATGAGGTGAAGTGGGGCAGCCAGAAAGTATAGTGTGGGACAGGGAGAGAAAGGAGTCCACAGTGATGCTTTCTCTTCCCCAGGAAGCAGGGTCAAACAGTTCCTTTTTCTAGTCAATTTGGTGAAGAGCAGAGTATGTTCTCCTTAAAGAATTTTCTGCTGTAAACAAATTTGAAAAGAGGAAAAGGAGATGGGGGGGAGGGCAAGAGGAGGAAATTTATGAGGGTTAATTGTTGTCTTGATTTCCCATGCTCAAATTGGGTGGAGGGAGAACACAAACATAGAATGGGGTAAATAGAAAAATAAAGCAATTGCTATACTTAAACTTGGAAACCGTGGTCTTCCCAATTCAGTGAAATTATTATTCTTTTTAAAGCAGCATTCCAACTTTGATTTGCTATGGAAAACAAACTAAAATCAAATAAAATCTCCTCCAGAAATGAGGTTAGGATGCAGCCTTGCTGCCAGTAGCCTCATCACTTATGAGCTGTGGAAATATCAAAAACTTGGAATAACACTCATTACATTGATATAAACAGAATTAAGCCAGATGGTTTACTACTGATCTTGTACAACCGGCAAGCTCTAATGATTTATCTTCCAGCCTTGGATATGTAATTTAGACTTTATGGGAGCTAAATATGTTAGATTGATCTGGAGTTGATATGCTTTCTTTTCCATTTTTATTGTATACCACTTTAAATGGAGATATAGTGCTGTAGTTCTCAGAATTGCCAATCTTTACTTATATTATGTAAGAGCCTGGCAGTTTAGAGTCAAAAAATGAAAAAGATGTCATGTTATTGAATTTGAAAGTCTTTAAGTTTGAATGCATTTAAAGGAAAATGTAAACACAAGAAGTCTAGATCTGTTATAAAATAGTTTCTCTGGACCTTAAAAGTCAAATTTTATTTTCCTTCTATATATCACACATGGTTTAAATATAGTATCTTAGGCTCCACAAAGTAATCTAGGGAATGAATGCACAAAATTTGATGTTATCAATAGAAATTGTTGACATAGAAAAAAATGATATTCTTGTTCATAGCTGCAATTTTATGTTGTAGGGTTGATTGGGGACACAGTAGCCCTGTATTAGAGGAAGGACAGAAAATAGAATTTCACTGTGGCAGTCTTTGTTCTGTAGACACATAGCATGAATGGTGAAAAGCACTCTGCCTTGTAAATTATTTTTAGTGTAGACTAGTCTCAGTATGAATTGTTTAAAGATACATATAAATATCGATTATCTAGATACTGTCTTTCTTCACATTCCCTGTCATCAATCCAGGTTTAAAACACTAGTTGGTTTTGTTTTGGAGAAACTAGAAAGAAAGTTGTCAAGCTTTTTGGGTCTCAAAAGAAATAGTATCTT